CCACAGAGACTGATACAGGGCAGAGAGGCTCCACAGAGACTGATACAGGGCAGGGAGGTTTCTTGGCGACTGACTGTAGCAAGAGGCTCCTCAGTGACTGACACAGGGCAAGGCGGCTCTACAGTAACTGACACATAGAAAACACACCCATTATGTACTGACACAATACAAACTGACCAGTGACAGACATCCAAAACACAAGATCCACTCAACTGAAACTGACTGTAGACTTTGCGATGTTTTGATCTGAATAGACTTTATGATGTTTTGATCTGATTTAAAAAATCTGGATATAAATTTGGAAAAAAAAAAAAAACGCTAAAATTTGAAATGTGTGCATTGAAATAAATAGCAGTTCCAAGTGTTGATTAGTCAGTAACATTGTACTTTTTGTTTAGGTCCACCCCTGTGGATGGGTCAGCTGGTGCCCCGACTGGTGTGCGCGGCTTGCTAAGTTGGCCCCCGCCGCCGTCATGGAGTCTACCATAACGCTAGCCTTCAAGCTGGCCCCCCCCGCCCACGATGGCAGCCCCGAGCACCACAGCTGTGAGGAGAGGATGGAGCGCCGCTATGAGATCGTCCCCTCCGTTGTCTGCTCTATGTGCTGCCTCTTTGGCATCATCTACTGCTTTTTTGGTAACAGCTCCGGGCCCCGTTTGACCCCATTTATCGAGTCCTCTCAGGTCACTAGGGCCGGCGGCTGCCAATCCGGTGGCCGGCATTCAAATCCCGTAGCGTGGCTCGCACCTCGGATGCGCAGCGGGCTGAAGTGTGAGCGGGTTGACATGAGATTGCTGCTCTTGGTCCTGTGCCGCGATGTGACTAGTCGTTGCTTAGTAACTGCTGAGGTGGCCTTGGTGTGTGCAGTGCGCGGCTTCCACTGCACAATCACATCACCTACTGCTACCCAGGGTGGCTCTAGCAGGACAGAAATTTGAGCCAATGACTTACAGGGAAGATGGCATCCTATGATGGTGTCACGGTGAACGACACTGAGAACGACACATTCTCCTGCCAATAGTTGTGTATCTAGTAGTGATGGACAAAATGATGCTTCATGAACCATTTGCTATATTTTTGACCCCACTAGATGGTGCTCTTTGGTTACTTTGGGGCATGCTTTGTGCCCTTTTTGAATAGAGAGCATCTAGTGGCGTCAAAAAATAGTTCATGAAGTGTCATTTTGTTCATTACTACTAAGCACACAGCCACTTAAAAGTCAGTCTGATTATCCTATTCTGCCATACGCCCATTTCGGCGTGTCTGTTGGAATGGAACCCAGTCGGGGACTGGCTGTAATATATATAACTGATTGTCCCAGCGGACAGCACCACAGTACTTGACAGACTATTGACTGGCTGTGAACAGTCTGAACACTCTTCTAGACTGTTATTCGGGGGGTGGGATCACTAGACTGCCCCCCCCCCTCAATGAAAACCCTTTATTGCCTTTAGTGTGGCTGAGGCCTTGTCTCTGAGACCATGGTTAACAATAAGCAGGGATTGACAAAACTGGTATGCAAGTACTCATTCGCTGTAAGGTTAAAAGGCGTGATAATTTCTCATCACAACAGTGCAAATGTGCATAAAATAAGTACGCATTTACACTGTTATGACCAGAAATGATTCTGCATTTTAACCTTTATACTGCAAATGTTATACTTGAGTACCAGTTATTTCAGTGCCTGATAATAAACTTCAGATGACTGCCAGTTACCCCCATAATGTGCGGTTGTCCATCTTTCCTAGGCGGACAAGATCGTCCATGTCAGGAAGGACACTATGAGCTGCTTCACTGACCAATCAACACAGAGCAAGAACTTTGTGCTGAAATGAAATCCAGGTCCTTTTAATCAAAATGGTAGTTTCCAAATCCTGTTCTAGCTCAAAGCGTCCTCCCTGACATGGATTATCTGGTCACCCTAATCTCTCTGTAAAGCTAAAAAAATTAAAAGTCAAACTTAGAACGAGGTTCTGTGTTGAGTACTGCCGTGTTGAGGGTCCTGCCTGAAGCCCTCGCCTTCGTCCACAGGCTACCGCTGTTTCAAGGCGGTGATGTTCCTCACGGGCCTGATGTTCGGCTCCATCGTCATCTTCATGCTGTGCTACAAGGAGCGGGTGCTGGACACGCAGCTGAGCGCGGAGGCCAGCGCGGGCATCGGCCTGGGCATCGGCGTGCTCTGCGGCCTGGTCACCATGCTGGTGCGCAGCGTCGGCCTCTTCATGGTGGGCCTGCTGCTGGGGCTGCTGGCGGCGGTGGCCGCGCTGCTGGCCATGGAGGAGTTCTACCACCCGCGCACCGTCTGGGTGCCGCTGGCCGTGCTCCTGGGCTCCGGCATGCTCTTCGCCGTGCTGACCCTGCAGTGGCAGCGCTGCTTCACCACGCTCTCCACGGCGGTGTTCGGCGCCGCCGTCATCACCGTCACCGTCGACTACTTTGCCGAGCTGTTCGTGCTGGTGCGCCACGTCTACGAGCGCATCAAGGTGGCGCCGCCGCGGCCCGTATGCTGGTTCACCTGGGCGGTGCTGGGCGTGTGGCCTGTGCTCACTGTGCTGGGGGTGCTGGTCCAGTGGAAGGTCACGGCTGAGGGTTACTCTCACACTGAGGGTGAGTCTGCAGGGGCAGAATGGGAATTCTGGGAGGGGCTCGTCCCCAGTGGCCTGTACTACGAAGCGGGGTTACTGGCTTATCGGGGTAACTTGTCGGATTTAGTGTGTGTACTAAAGTGTGTACTCTGTGCATTCCTGACTGTGTCCCTGTGTGTACCTGTGCATTCC